CGGCAAGAACCTAGGTCTATCCTCGTTCTCGTGCTGAGTATAGCACTTTTTACACCGATATACCGACACCCTCTCGTTAATGTTCTTTCCGGGCTCATCCTTATCCACGTCCAAATACAAACTATTCGGGCCCACCTTTTCTCCGTCAAGACCATCCCCTGAACCCACGACCAACACCTTATACGGCCCGGTCCAATTATGTGCCAACTTCGGGATCAACGCGAACGATTTTTCTTTCCCTCTACTGTTCATTCGCGATTCAAGCACGTGCTCCCCCCCACCAGAAATTGTACTCTTCTCATCATACACCAAGACCCAGTCCCCCTCCTTGTACTTCGGCCTCTTGCCTATTATCGAGTTCAACACCTGATTGCTCTTCTCATGCTTAGCCTTGGTTATCTTATCCTTCTCTCGTACCAACTCGTACGCCTTCCTTTGCTTATGCCTCATCAAATTCAAATATTCCAATTGGACCACCAATCCCAACAAGCGTCTGCCAACTTCCGTTAAAGGAACCGCATGCAATATCAGCCCTGGCTCAAACTGACCACTGACTACTTCCCCACGAGGTTCCACCAACCGGGTGTCATCAGGCACACACGCACCATCAGGCAAAGGNACAATCCCCACAAGCGTCTGTCAACTTCCGTTAAAGGAACCGCATGCAATATCAGCCCTGGCTCAAACTGACCACTGACTACTTCCCCACTCGGTTCCACCAACCGGGTGTCATCAGGCACACACGCACCATCAGGCAAAGGGTTGGACACGTCCTTTCCCCTTTGGATCAGCGCCCACGTCTTGTCTGCCAGTTCGTCCGTAGTGAGGCTTGCCGATGTACAGCCACCTTCCCCCACCACAAAATCATCGCGATGGTTCGACCCAGCGAGCGCCTCTCGCTCGGTATACACCGGACCCAATCGCGAAGGTATCACCCCGCTCGCACCTATCATGTAAACATCGAGATCAGACGGATCAGTCAGCCTGACATCTGGTGCCTCATCCTCTTTCGTCGCAGGCAATGGCAACCGTGACATCAAATCGGCATTTGCATTCTCTCGCCCTGGTCGATACTTCAGTTCATACGTGTACGCTGACAGGAAGTCATACCACCTCTGTACGCGATTGTTTGTCTCTGCCAAACTCCCCAAATTTCGCAAGGGTTGATAGCCACTGTACACTTCAAAGGGGGTGCCATAAAATAATGTTCGATTCTTCTTAGTCGCGCACACTATCGCACCCGCTTCAAGCTCAGTCAGACTCCATCTGGTTTCATTCGGGAATGCTGATCTGCTCAAAAAGCATAGCTGCCTAATACTCCCATCTCGTTGCTCTTGCTCAATTACGGCTCCCAAGCCCGAAATCGACGCATCAGCGGTTAGCCGAAACGGCCGCTCTCCCGATATCGCACCCTCATAACACGGAAATGCCAAGACCGTAGGACCAGACAGAATATCCATCATCNACTAACACTAGTGGGCATTGGCACTTCACGCAGCGGTCTGACCTTTCCCGGGTCCGGCCCGATCCCTTCCGCCGTGACTTGATGTCCCAAAAACGTACCACTTTCACCCCCAGGTTCGTCTTATTGGGTGCCAGTTTCAGGTTGAACTTGACCATACGCTCGAAAAACCTCTCCAGGTCGCGCACGTGTTCTGCCCCGTCCCTGGAAAAACGATTACGTCATCGATAAACAGACGCACACGTTCCAGTCCGTCACATACTCTGGCCATCACCGAATGGAACCACCCAGGACTACTACTGAGACCTTGCGGCACGGATAAAAATTCGTCCAACCCCGTAGACGTGATAACAGCAGTGATCGGAGGCTGTCCTCCTCAATACTGCACTGGAAAAACCCACTGACCAAATCCAGCGTACTGAAGATTTTCAATTTGTCCAATTCCGCCAAAATATCCTTCACTATCGGAATGGGCAATTTGGGGGGTACACTCATTTTATTGATGCGCTTGTAGTTGACCGTCAACCGCACNCCAACCCCGTAGACGTGATAACAGCAGTGATCGGAGGCTGTCCTCCTCAATACTGCACTGGAAAAACCCACTGACCAAATCCAGCGTACTGAAGATTTTCAATTTGTCCAATTCCGCCAAAATATCCTTCACTATCGGAATGGGCAATTTGGGGGGTACACTCATTTTATTGATGCGCTTGTAGTTGACCGTCAACCGCACACCACCGTTAGCTTTCGCGACTACCACCAACGGACTCGCCCGATTGCTGTACGATCTCCGCAACACACCCGCCAACAGCAATTTGTCAATTTCGATATTTTCCTTTTCGTTCATAACTAAGGAATAGCGATATGGCCTCTGCCGCACTGGCTGTGCCCCCGGCTTCAAAATGATTCGAAACGGATCCACCGTCACCCGTCCTAAATCCGAACCACCCTTCGAAAAACGATGCTCAAACTTGCACAATACATCACCTAGTTTGTCAATGTCTTCCGGCTCCCATAGTTTCGCATTGAAGTCGAAATGGACGTCTCGAATGTGCGGAGGCACCATTTGCCACAACCGCCTGAACGCCACCTGTTGCGCCCCATTCAAGGAAGACATAACATCAGCGGGAGGTTCGTTGTTGGGCATGTCAACCTCTTCACCCTCCTGAACCCAAATACATTTTTGAATTCCTCATTTTCTACCAAACGAGCATCTTCCAAATTTACCACTTCCAGGGGTTCACCACCACACCCCAAAATATCGTTTGGTTTCACCAGACACGAGCTATCCCCGACCCTTTTGAGAGGAATTTCAGACGTACCATTTTCAACCAATGCTTCCTGCGGGAACCACTTATTCCCAAACTGCACACGGTACGTCCCCACCGCAGCGTTACTGCCAACTAGGTTGGTTAATTTTACCTCAACCCATGACATTGTATTTGGAAGCCATCGTCTACTACCATCAGATTTCACTACCACCTTTCCATCACCTTCCGTTTCCACCATACCAAGCGCGTTACCCACCCATTCATCAAAGTGGTGATCTCCTGCCACTTCATTAGTATTTTCACCGACAAAAGTTGTTCCTGTGTCCGACACGTCTTGGAATTCGCGAACTGGAAAATCAGCCCAACTATCCCTCCCTAGTATCAGATCATGTTCCATAGCTTGAGTCTGTCACGATGTACGCATACACACTCGTCCGTACCGTCGGTGTACCGAAATGACCCGGCGCTGATTTTCCGCCCTTCCACATTTCAATATTAAATCGCATTCTTCGATCTGTAACCTACGGCACCCCATGGAACCCACTCCATTTCTTGTTCAGTCCTGTTTCAATGCTATCAGCTGAAGTCGAACCAATATGCCAACATCTTTTGCACACACCTTTCTTGTACAAACGATGCCGGACTTCCCGTATCCAACAGAGCCTCCCACGACATCATTTTGGTCGCCCTTGCCCCCGCGAACACTTGCACTCGAGTCGTATGTCGATGTCGGTCCATCGTCAAATCCCCACCGACCGACCGAGTAAATGGTGACAGGTAGTTCGCCGCTTCACCTGCAGCAAACGTAAGAGGCGGAGGGTACACCGCATCACTCCTTTGTCCTGACACAGAACTAACAGATACTTGTACGGCAAAAATGCGATCTGTTCCTTCTTGTGCTCCACCAAAATTTCCTCCCTTCTGCGCTGTTATCTCAACCTCACGCTAAAGGGAATTTCCAGAGGCGGATGCATCCCCTATCACGCCCTCTTCTCCTATCACTGGTAAAGCAACAGTTTCATGGTTCTGCTTGCTGCCAGCACGATCAACGCCAGCACGATCAACGGTAAAGCTTTTATCCTTTCTAGTGTCCCTATTAATCGACCCCTTTTTTGGCTACCTTTCGACCAACCGTGTGTTCCGCTTGAGGATACAGCGGACACCTCACTGTTCTCGGAGAATATGCCTTGCGTATTTCCTTCCTTTGAGTGTTTAACGCATTCCCCGCTGGTGTTGCGTTGTCATTAACATTTCCCATTCTGCCAATGCTAGACTTCGTTTGATCTGACGAAGGGGGCGTGTTCGGCACCCCTACTTCTGGAAAATCCCTGTGTGTCTTACTAGTGATTGGTTCCTGAAGCTGTGCACGTGCATCTTGCGACACACTACGACCAAGAATTTGTTGCGGGGGCCTACTCCCCAATACGTTCTTGCTCCCACGGCCTACACCCGTGCAGCTCAATTTTTCAGCACCTGAAACCACTTGCAGTTTGGGATAATTACTTCCACCCTGCTTGGAATACTCCTTAGATACTGAAAAACGTCGCTTACCGTGGTTTGACGAGACGATCCCCGTCGCCAGGCCATCACCCTCGGTGTTGTGCACCACCGATCGGCCCCCCTCCTCCTCAACAATCCCACCCTCCGAGTCTTCTTTGATGTTCTCGCGTGATGATTGTTTTCGCTTTTTTTTAGCCTCCCCGAGATTCTGTTTTGATCCCGGTCCTGGGCTCTGCTTTCTTCCCTTCTGCCCGCGATATTTCTTTTCGTCATCACAACACCCGGGACCCCCTTCACCGTGCACCATCACTCCTCAAGATTTGTTTTTAATCTCGCAATCACCCCTCTCACCCTGCACCATCACTCCTCAAGATTTGTTTTTAATCTCGCAGTACTTTTCACCCTTCACCTTCACCTCTCGAGATTTGTTTTTAATCTCGCAATACTGTGGACCTCCTTCACCCTTCACCTCCACCTCTCGAGATTTGTTTTTGATGTCGCAATACCGTGCACCTCCTTCACTCTTCACCTCCACCCTGCACCACCACTCCTCGAGATTTGTTTTACATTTCGCAATACTTTTCACGCCTTTCACCCTTCACCTCCACCCCGCAAGATTTCTCTTGTATCTCGCTGGTTCCTTTCTTCCACCTCCCCCAATGTTGGACGCCAGGGTTTTGAGAGCCTCCACATCACCCCCAAAATGTGACTGTAACAAGTCAAGAAGCACGCTCGAAGTATTTCTCACCTCTCCCTCATCCGATGGCTCCCCGCCCTGGGACTCTCCATCCCCCTCCCCCTCCTTGCCCGAGGCACTACCCCCTCCACCATCCTCCTCCACCTGGGCATCAACCCCCCTCTTGCGCTTTTCTTCCTCCTTCATGGGCACCTTGCCTCCCCCATCACCTGGCGCACGAGAAAAGAAAATGACCCGCGTCAGGTGTCTGTGACCTTCTGTTTCTGCGCATTTGACTTGTCCTCCGTGAGTAGTATTCCTCCCCACCCCTCTTACTTCGCGGCGCTAACGCGTGAAACCCTGGCATTGCCATTGCCTCCATTGCCATCCTCTGATCTGCGCTTAGGCGCCTTGCCCCTGCCCCCGAGCCTCTCGTAAGATTCCTTCCCCGACTTGCAGAGACATGGCTCTCCCACATCTTTCTGCCCCGATCTCCCGTGATGTGCGTCNATCTCTGCCCCGATCTCCCGTGATGTGCGTCAGCCCTCTTGCTAGACTTTAGTCTAGACACACATTTTTCAAAGTCACCCACCGCCGTTTCCCCCATTTGCGACACACTCCTCCCCCCAGTGTGCGAAATACCCTCATAACCCCTCTTGCCCTCAGGCCATCCACCCTTTCCCCCAGAGACCTCAGCCTCTGTCCGTTGTGCATCCTCGGATGTCTGCTGTACACTCTTAGATAGCACTTCCCTTGTTTGACGTGAGTCTCCAACTTCAACGTCTTCCCCCGACCTCTTTTTCCCTTCCTCCCGAGGTCTCTCTGTCAACGCAATACCCTCATAACCCCCCTTACCCCCAGGCCTTCCACCCTTTCCCCCAGAGACCTCAGCCTCTGTCCGTTGTGCATCCTCGGATGTCTGCTGTACACTCTTAGATAGCACTTCCCTTGTCTGACGTGAGTCTCCAACTTCAACGTCTTCCCCCGACCTCTTTTTCCCTTCCTCCCGAGGTCTCTCTGTCAACGCTTCCCCTTTCACTGACAGCGCTTTAGCCGCCGACTCATCCCCTCCCGTCGGCAACTCATCCATCCCACCGCCATTAGAACCACCACCACACCTGTGGTCCGAGTGTCCAACCCTCCCTTCATCGCTGTTCACTTCCCCCCCCTCACCTCTCTGTGCCATGGGAAGAACACACCGCAAGCGGTGCGCTAACCGCGTG